TTGTATGGCTGGATTCCATTTCAAGTGCCGTAGTTTTTATTTACATTTTACGTTTTTTTTATTTGACACTTTGTTTTTACAGTTACCTATACTAGTATACTATGAAAACTACTTTATTTACACAAAATCATTTTTGGGTATTTCTGCAATATATTACATTTTTTGTGAAGATTTATACATTTATTTAACATTTTAGAGATGTTTAATATGGAAGCAAACAAGAGACAGAAGTATTTGAATTTGATCAGACACCGAATTTATAGCATTAAAAATAATTACTTTGAAAATCATGTATCTGATTTTTTTTTTGCTCCGAATGTACCTATGTGAAATAAAAATGTAAAAACTCAAGTTAAAAAAATTCGAATGTTCAAATTCAGATCCCAAAAATTCAAGTGAAAAACATTTGACGTCAAATATTTCTGTGTTTAAAATTCGATGTCAAAAAATTCGGTGTATAAAATTCGACGTCAAAAATTGCGATGCAGCCTCATCCGGGCTACTCAGACAGGATAAGCAATCGAGTCCGAATGCAATCAAACCGACTTCTGGCCTATCAGAGCCAAGCGGCAAACCCCGGGACAGTGCGGTGAAGCCCAATGCTGCAAACTGTAGGCGATGGATGCAGATGGGAGCAATTCCCGTAGACCCTATGTTAAAATGTCCAACTTAACATCAGAAAATGAACATGTTTCTAGCCTGGATCCACAAAAACATATTCTGTATATAGTTAGATTCCCCCTTCATGACAACGGGACTGCTGCTCCTAGCTCCTCTGTCTCACTGTTAGCTCCGTGATGCTACAGGGGCTCAGCGCATGAGGAGAACACTACTTGAACTCGGCCGTGTTTGTTGTGTTGGCTCCTGGTGGACTATTCGTCAAGCAAATATAAGATTTATCTGCGGTTGAAACAGACCGTCCATGAATGCAGTTTATTCGGTAAGTCAACACTGCGTACTTTATGTTATGTTACTGGTGTTTTTATTAAGCTAACATTAATGAATGTTTAGAGTTGGGTTAGCATTTGAGCAATCGTAGCTCCATCTGTGCTAACGATGCTATGCGTAGCATCCAAGAGTGTATAACATTAAGTGGGATGCTACTGTATACCAAAAGGCTTCTGTGCGAGGTTGCTAAAATAAGGTCATCCTTGTACGTTAGATAGTTAGTTTGCTAGTTAGGTTACTGTATGCATTGTTAAGGTTAATTTAAATTTGCTATGCTCTACTATAGCATAAAATAGACTAGCTAACATCAACGTATTGTTGAAGAGAGGCTTAGTGTATATTAAATCATCCTCACAATGAAATGTGTGTATCTTTAAAATATGAACGTCACATTTCAAGATGGTCCAGAAATAACGCTCCCTTAGATATTATAATATGGTTTGTTGAACTGGAGTTATTTATTGCAGCTAACCGCCTATCCGACGAACGACCCAAACATTGTTGTTTTTAATATTATTACCAATGCCTCTTTTAATTGTATTATCATCACACTTGAGAAACAGCCTTATCGTGGCTGTACAACGGAACATGTAACTTAATTCCTGCATTTAAGGACGATGAATAGCGTAGTCAATGCTTTAGTGACAAGGAAATTATGTTTAAATAGTAGATATGACGTTATCTGTGACTTCAGTGGAAATGAAGCTTATCCATTGCATTGCATTTGTTCAATAGGTTTGTGTCTTACCCTTACGTGTGTGATACATATGAATATGGCATTTGAAAACAAATTAATTTGACTGACTCATGAAAAACTCATCCAAAGTAACAGTAAAATAAATAGGACCTACACAATAATGCTCAATCAAACTGATACAGTATAAGGACTGTGATATCCAGCAATTTCTTAAGTATAACAATAAGATTATGACCTGTTTTTAAAAGAAGATAAAAAGTAGTTTGCATGTAAAGAAGTCTGTAAGCCACGCATGTAACTTTACATCTGTTTGTTCAAAGTGTCCTCAAGGTGATCCAGATAGGCTGGACCAGAGGAGGAGAGACAGATCTGGACTCCTAGCAGCAGAGAACTTCAGCACGGATTCCAAGGTACACCTTTTTCATACTTTGCAAAAAATGCATAAAGTAATGACTCTAATACACTGATATACATGCCATTAAACATGACTGAATACTAGATCACCTACACATCAGTGATGTTGAGTGTACTTTCTTAGAAAAAGGTTACATTTACATTTTACCATGCAACATCACTTTTTTGTTCAACTTTCACATTTCAATGTATTTAAGGCACATATTATTGAACATAGTGAGAACTGCGACCCTTTGTCTTTCAGTGAGACAACCGGACAGAGCAAGCTTCTACAGTTGCACTAAGTTTTGATAACAGTTCAATATTATTTGAATAATACATTTATTTCAATGTTGATGAATTTAGAATGGTTTATTCATAATCTGATTATCTTTGTAGTACACTGTTGGATTTAAAAAACACATTCAAATAAGAAAATCATTATATTTATGAACAAACAAACACACCTCTTTCTTAAATAACACACTTGCTCTGCAATAATATGTTTTTTGATATTTCTGTTAGGAAAGGACAGGCCTGAGAGACAGGACTGCTTCACCATTTTCTCTTTCTCTGAGGGTCCAGAAGAACATCCAAGAGGGAAAGGAGAAGCTGATGTGATAAAAGTCAGCTGATCAAATGCATTTGCCTCACTTTATGAGCTTCACAATACTTGTGCCTTGTACCGCCGAGTTTGCAACGTCATAAATAAATGGTGCCAATCTTCAGTCAGATGTGAATGTGTAATTTAACATTTTCAGTAAGAATAACGGACAAAAGGAGTGCAAATACAATTTATTGAAATGTGAACTAAAAGTTATCAAGCATGAACCATCACCATTTTTTTTTTAAATAAAAACGAAATAATATACATAAGTTACACTCAATGTTAATCTGTTAATTGACAGGCTAGGCCTGTGCAGGTGGTAACAGCTATGTCCAGCATGGGCTAAGTTCTGTAGGTGCAGCTGGTGCAGGTCCTCCTCCATCAGGTCTGGTCCTCCTCCCTCAGGCCTGCAGGGTCTTTCCCTGCGAGGAGGACTCCTCGCAGGGAAAGACCCTCAGCCCTCTCTGGCCAAACCAACAGACAGGACGTTCATAAAGCTGAGGTTTACCCCAAAGTCTCTAATCATCCTGTGAATATGAGAGGGGAACAAATAGTGTAATAGATGCTTTGGACGATAAGAAATATAAAGTTAACTGTTGAGTTGCTCAGTTTTTTAGATTGACAGGGTTTAATAACACAAACAAAAGGAGAGAAATAAAGATTGGTCTTTCAATAAATTGTGTTGATTTTGTCTTTTGAATTGTTTGTCTGACGTCAAGTAGCTAGAACTGTTACTTATAGTTTTAATGATACAGTCTGGTTATAATGTGTGGAGGAGGCATCACAGGTAAGAGCACCATTTGTTGTGTTCCATCCACAACAAATTGATGTGTGTATTTATTTATCTACTATTTCTTGAATCATTACTGTCAGTCCAAAACAAGAGATTTTGTTTTGGTAACATTTAAAAAAAAAAACATCTCTTTTCCACTACACTATCTTGAATACTTTAGTTTTTACGTCACTACATTTATCTAACAGCTTTAACATTGTAAAGGTGTCACTTCGGACTCTGGGTAATTATGACAGCATGTCCTACTATTTTGAGACTTTGAACAAACCAGACCTTAATCTATTAATGTAGAAAATAGTCAGCACATTAAACCATTATGAAATTAATCATTAGTTAGCTCATTGTTCAAAATGAGCTCCAACTACAACAGTTAAGTCAACTCGTGCATCGGTAATAACAATAAATCAAATGATATAATATAATAGTATAACTTGTGTCTACTTTAAATACTTTAACAACACTTTCCTAATTATACTAGCATACTTTACATTAACATGTTTAAATGCAGGGCTTTTGTAAGAGTGTATTTCGTATAGTGTAGCATGGTCTACTTGACTTATCTAACCGAAGTGATCGTTACGTTACTTTGCAAACCGTCACCCCCCCCCCCCCCCCCCCCCCCCCCCCCCCCCCCCCCCCACACACACACACACACGATAACGTGATTCACTTCAATTAATGATAACTACGGAGCTTGCTAACAGCAAGGCACAAGGCTACTTCACTCATTTAGCTAGCTAATGTAAGATACAAATGCTGTCGAGCAAGTAAAATAAAGAGCACAAACTGACTACTTACCCGAGCGGCAAGCCCCGCTGTTCTCCGTCATTTTTCTCCCGGGTTGTTGTGATCACATGACTGACAAAGCCGTGCTCTGATAGGCCAGAAGTCGGTTTGATTGCATTAGGGCTCGATTGCTTATCCTGTCTGAGTAGCCCGGATGATGCTGCATCGCAATTTTGGACATCGAATTTTATACACCGAATTTTTTTACGTCGAATTTTTTTCACTTGAATTTTTGGGATCTGAATTTGATCATTCGAATTTTTTTCACTTGAATTTTTACATTTTTATTTCACATAGGTAAATTCGGAGCAAAAACATTCAGATACATGATTTTCAAAGTAATTATTTTCAATGCTATAAATTCGGTGTCTAATAAAATTCAAATACTTCTGTCTCTTGTTTGCTTCCATAGTTTTATAATAAGATTTCTTTTTATTCTACAACAGTATAGAATACAGTTATTTTTACATTAAATTTAAGGTTTTACTGAAAGTTGCCTTCATTTTACATGCAGTAAAATGATGTGTATTTTTATGAGTTTTTACATAGAATTCAATGTAATTTAACATTCAAGACAATTAAACAATGGAATTATCCTGTAAACAAACGATAATTTCTCATCAAACCAATTTACAGAATAAAACCTTTATTTATTTTTAAATAAAAGTAATTTATTGTATTGTTATGGTATTTACACTTAATATAGAAAAACAAGAGGTCTGTAAAATAATATAGTACATTTTTTTTTTTTTTACAGTGTACGTTTATTTCCTTACCTGTTTCACACCCGTAACAGTGTAGGCATGGCCTTGGACCAATCCATTCGGTAAAACGGCGTTGGCAGATGTTTCCTACAAGCCAAAAACATTTATCATTGATGAAGTTAATGGATTGTACACAAGTGAAAACTCGTCCAAACAGAACTGAATTACTAATTCTTACAGTAGTTTAGAAATAATTTGACTGTGAATAATTAAATAAAGGTTAGCTAAATGTAAAATTACAGAGAAAAAAAAGATGTTGTTAGGCCAAAGAAATATTTTTTAAAAGTTGGAATATAAAGTTACAGAGAAGATCTACTTTCATGTATGTACAGCCAACAGCCATGACATAAAGAATATAAATGGGAGGCAAGTCTTGACCATTGATACTAGACTTCAAAATGGCGGCCATTCATTTGAATGAAAAATGCTCCATACTGTAAGTGCATACAAATTGCCAAAAGGTGTTGCTTTTCCTCAAGGTACGTTACTTACTGCTCATGATTAGCAGTATTTTCTATGCCAAAACCTGTTCCGTCTATAGACTTTACATTGGTATGATGTCTTGCAAATAAAGCGCTACTATAGGCTCTTGGAATGTTTAGCTAATATAATCTATCAACCAAAGTAGGGTTATAAATGAAGAACCACAAAACCCAAATGTTCATGGGATATGAGTAAACATTTTGAAGTTATGGCAAAATTGCAGCTAAACTTCTGCTACAACATAGTTGAATAATATCCAGCCAGTGATGGTTTTGTGTGGTAAATGTGTCCTTACCCCCTGAGCTGTACCACAGCCCATTAGAGACTTGGTTTGGCTAGCTCTGCATATCAGCTCCCACAGGTTTGTGGGGGGGTTTGACAGCGCGATCGACATGTGAACACCACCAGTGAAGTCCATCATTGCCTCGGCAGGAGTTCCAGCATTCATGTCAGTATAGGAACCACATACTCTACAACATGGATTTGAAAATATTGTTACAGATGCTCCAATTCATGCTGAGATACAAAAAATGTTGAGAAACAATGTCATTGTCATACTTGGCATAGGCTTTCTCCATCAAAGCAGGCCAAAACTCATTTTGGTCTTTGGAGCGGACAAAGATCAGTCTGCCATCAATTGTTGGTAGCTTGTCATCAATGATGACGTCAACCCATCTTCCAAATCTCCAAAACTGATTGGTTAAACCAAGACGGAAAGAAAGATCCATTCAATACCAAGTAACTATTTAAAGTAAAACATCACATTGTGTGTCTCATCATTTCAGTTCTGTGTCAATGCACAGTCATTAATTATTTTCTCTAAAATATTCCTTTTACTCATTGCACACTTTTCTTCAAAAGTGCGGTCCACAAGAGTTTGGGAATTGTCTTTTGGCATATTAAGTTTGATTACAATCATAGTTCAATGAAAAAAATAAGAAAGATTTGTTGTGAGTATTTACCCTGAAGTGGAACATCCCGCAGTATTTCCCATTGAATGTTTGCTCAAGAGGGACGACTTTACAGAGGATGTCATTTTGGAAGGTCAGTGCTCCAATAGAGGCCAGAAACCAGCAGTTTTCTGGTTAAAAAAACATATTGAGCCAATGAGTTGTTGAGACAAGAAAGCATATTATTAGAAAAATCAAGACTGAAGAAATGTCTTTACCAACTAGTCCTTGGCCAATGTCAAACCTGGAGACCCCATCAAGTACAAAGGCTGGATAAGGAGCAATTTTCTGAAACACAGGGGGAGTGAACAATGAAAATACATTCACATTTTTATGCAATGAAATTACCAATGATTCTTCATTTAGAGTTAGACATATGAACATGTGAGTATTGTTGACATTACATATCAATACAATTTTTTTTACATATCAATACAGTCCAGCCTGTCCTCCTACAAAAAACGACCATATAGGCCGATTGTTCATGCCCTTATTACGACCCAGAGACACGTTTTAAAGTGTATGTTGTTTCTTACACGACCGTGGTAAGTAGTGATAAGTGGTAAGTGGTGGTCGAGTAAGAAACAACATGCTCCCGGCCCGTTCATTGCAAACGCTCCGGAGGGACGTTTATTCACAAATAACCCTCTCTGGAAAATCCTAAATTGTGGAATAGTTTGGCCATTAAAATGCTTTTTGATTCGATTTCTGGCGAGAAGTGTATATTGTACTCTTAGAATCCACGTCCAGTCGATGTGTAGGATCTATAGTTTGATAGATATTACGAAGATGATTTGAAGTCTCGCCAGGATAACGTGTATGCAGCTTCCATGTAAAGTTAGCGTGGGTGAAAACAGTTTTTCCGTTCTCGAAGTTTTCATAATAAAACCGGATATATTCCCCTCACTGTCAAATGATTACACAGTGATATCTGCATTACTCATCCACTAAAAAACATCAGTTTATCCTTGTTAATTACACAATATTGATTGGTTTAAATTGTGTACAATGCTTTTGTGTTTTTAACCTTCGATTCAGAGAAACAAATAGTTTTTTCGGAGTTAAGACACTACACTACCCAGAATCCCCAGCTATCGTTTGGGACTACAACATCCGCCTTACTTTACAAACCCCGTGATTAGTCATCAAGCCCTGTGAATGGATGTTGGAGTGGCAGTGCGACAAGGTTACACTGAGCGTCAAACAGCTCTATGAAATGGAATGGAACCACGGCAGACTTTCCAAAACTGGAATTGGACGGGTCCAGCCCCCCCCCCCCCCCCCCCCCCCCCCCCCCCCCCCCCCCCGCGCCTGTCAATCCAATGGTCCTTCTCCAGCTCACTCCCCCATCTATTACCAAGTGCGCAAGTAAAAGCAACCGGATATAAGCACAAACGTCACCACACAAATCCAATGACACGCCCACCACCTATAGTGACTCAAAAAACATGTATCGTAATAAACACATAAATGGCTTCATATGTGGCTCCTACAGTGCCATATGTAGGAGCCACATATGAAGCCATTTCTGTGTTTATTATGATTCTCTTTATCAGACGTTTTCGTATTTCCCACAATTAGAAGTTGCCAGTATTAAACTGTGTACACCCTGGAGGTTTAGAGCAGTGGTTCCCAAACTTTTTTGCCCAAGGCACACCAAAGGACAAGTAAAAATCTCAAGGCACACCTATTGTGCAAAATAGCTCTTATAACACGCGTTATCACTCATATCATGTAAAATATCTGTAAATGTGCATAATTATTTACTAATGCCAAATAAAATGTGACAAAGACAACTATATTACTGATTAAATATTTATTAACGAAATATTTCAGAAATTAATTTGAAACTTTATAAAATTAGGCTTCATCAAAGCAGCAACACACTCATTTAAACCAGACAGGTCACAACATTAAAAATGAGGCAAAGGAAACTCAGCAGAAATTCAGCACAGAGAACTGTCAATGCAAGGAAGCTGCACTGCATGGTCCTGAACTACAAATTATAAATGTAACATTTCAGCAATCAGCATTGAAACATGTGCTATTGGAAATATTTTTGCCGACTTACAAATTAGTGAGATACATGTGCATGTCGGGGCGCGCAGAATTGTTTAATCCTTGGTGGCACTGAGGAGAGGGCCACTCGCAAGTCCTGTTCAACAGAGAGCCGTGACATCCTGTTGTTCTTCATGTAAATCAGAGTAGAGAACGCCAACAGCAGAAATGGGGTCGTTACTAAAAAAAAGTAATATATTACACTACTTCGTTACTATCTACATAAAGTAACTCGTTACTTTACTCACCGAGCACGTACGAACTGCGCATGCGTGAGTGTCAATAACTTTCCTTACCAGCAGGCGGCGGTAGTGTGTATTTGTCATTCAAAACAGGCAACAACCGGAAGACAGAGAAGAAGCACAGACTGCGTGATATAAACAAACAACAAATAGCGTGTGCGGTAGCTTTACCTTAGCATGTGTTCTTTGCAGGTGTTTGTTGAGGTTTGACCACGTGGTGTTTCCAGCAGTGGATAACAGCTTCTGGCCTGGACACAGTTTGCACCTCACCGTCACATTCCTGTCTATTCTTCGGACAAACTCAAAATAATGGGCATACCTCCACCCCTCGAAAGTTATCGCTGACTCAGCCATGTTTATGCAGCACTGCACGTGGAGATGTGGACGCGCAAGTCGCGCAGATTACGTACATATAAACCTACAAAGTACTGATATAGTAAATTAAAAAATAATTATTTTTGTGTAGTTGTATATTGCAATAATAACGTATGGTTGTCACAAAATCCCACGGCACACCCGGACTTGCCTCACGGCACACCAGTGTGCCGCGGCACACCGTTTGGGAACCACTGGTTTAGAGGATACGAAACAGTGGTCTTATGAAATTTAAAACATATAATTAATAAATGGGTGAATTAATATACCCACATGGTATGCTAAGGTCAGAAGAGCTTTATTTAACAGCTGGTCTTATGTCTGTGACCCCTCCTGTTGTTCATTGATAAGCCTGAAACATGCACTTGTCAAGGTTCAGAGGCACATTTTGCAAATATGGCAGTAGCCATCGATCATCTTAAGATAAGATAAGATAAGATATACTTTATTGATCCCAAGTTGGGAAATGTTTTTGTTACAGCAGCATGTACTACTTTATTCTACTCCACTACAATTCAGAGGTTAACCTGGCATTTTTACTCCACTACATTTATTTGAGTTACTTTGCAGATTCTGATTAATGATGTCAAATATAAAAAAACCTTAAATCAGACTTTAGTTACACCTGAGTCAAATTCAGGGAAGGTGATTGTCAAGTGCCAAAATGAACTATGCAATATATTGGACGTTAAGTACTTTGTCAGACTTCATATTTATCTGTGGATAACCCCAACGTTTTTTTCTTATTCAAAAGAAGACCTTAACTTAAAGTATTCTTTAATGTTTAAATAAAGCCATATTAGTTTGTCTGTTTTGCACCTCCTCCTGTTAATATCTTTGGACGTCCTGCACTAAACTGTTTTATTGTAAAGACACTACAGTATCTTCTTGATATTTTCTATTCTATATTTCTATCATGCCTTCTACTTTCCCCCAATTTTGTATGTAGGCTACTCTTAATATTTAAATGTTTTCATCAAATAAAACTTATTCAACAACACAATTCAATAACGTGCTTTAACCACTAGGCGGTGCAGGTTAAAAAACCAGTGGTGTAGTTAATAAAACATAATATCAAACATAATATCTTCCTCTCTGAAGAACCAGCACCTTACCGTGGTAGAGAGGTTTGTGTGCCCTGATGAACCAGGGGGCTGTGTTGTCTGGACCCCCAGGCAAGGGGCCAGACTAAGATTGGTTCAAAAGACCTCATGAAAGAAAAACCAAGAAGTGAGGATACCCGGCCCGGAGGAAGCCCGTGGTCCCCTACTGGAGCCAGGCCCAGAAGGAGGACTCGTCGGCGAGCGTCTGGTGGCCGGGCTTGCCACGGAACCCGGCCGGGCACAGCCCGAAAAGGCAACGTGGGCAACACCTCCGCTTCTCCGTCCCGCGGGCCCACCACCTACGGGAAACAGCGATGGGGTCGGTTGCGCTGCCAGAAGGGTGACAGTGAAAGCAGAGGGTCTCGACGGACCAGACCCGGGTGACATAAGCTGGCTTTGGGGACGTGGAACGTCACCTTTCTGGGGGGGAAGGAGCCGGAGCTTGTGCGGGAGGTGGAACGTTGCCAGTTGGATCTGGTTGGGCTCACCTCTACGCACAGCGTCGGCTCTGGAACCTTACTTCTGGATAGGGGTTGGACTCTATTCTTCTCCGGAGTTGCTCAAGGTGTGAGGCGCCGGGCGGGTGTGGGGATACTCACTGTTAGGGATTACTTTTGTCTTTACTCCTAAACATTTAACCTTATTTTGTGTGTTGACATGTACGACCATCCCTGCTTCTAATCTCCCGTAAGGAATGTGTTGATGCAGTCGTATGTTGATAATAGGTTTTACAGCTTGACCTACAGAGCATAGGGAGGTTTTGCGAGTGTGAGAACGCTAGCTTCTAAGATCCAGAGATGGGAGAGACATCTCCTGTGTCTGCAGATGTGTTTACGCCATGGTTTACGCCCATCCCCAATATGTGGATTTGACTCTCTGTAAACTAGTTAAAAGGTCTACCAAGATGCGAGGCTGATCAGATTTGACATGGCAAACCACCCGTGCAGTCAGAACCTTTGACTGTGTGACTTGTGATGTGAATTTCTCCGGCCAATGCTTGTATTAAATATCAGTGTTTGACATCAGAACTCCTGCTCGTCCCGTGTCTCCTTCATGAGTCGGTGACTCCCACTGCATTGCTACACAGAAGTTTCCTCCACAAATTGGCGTTGTCGGCAGGATACCAACAAATCTTCAGAAACTGGTAAGTGTAATTTCAAATCCACATTTGGACATTGCCTTACCAGAATCTGTGATTGACGGTATCCTAAAATTATCTGTGAAGCTGAGCGGCTGTATTTCATTTTTGGTTAATGAACATTTGGGGATAAAAAAAAACAGGGAATCAGTGTCTGGGGATTTTTATCCTGGCTGATTTCCTCTGTGTATGCTGCTCGGGATGGAAGTACCATACAAGCACGCACAGCTCATGTTCAGAGTGACCTTAAAGAAAGGCATCAGTAAAGTGGAACTTCTGTTTGAAAGCAATGTAAAGATTTGTATTGAACAAATCGCCGAATTCTGGGGGTTTCAGTGGCCAACACAACAGTTAAAAATAAGCAGCCCGAGA